CTACAGGGACACCAGTGAGACACCAAGTGTTCGTAAGCTAAATGTCGGCCCAGACTATATTAACATTCAGTCATAACCTAGGCGTGCGGTGGGATAGCCAAGTGGATAAAGCGTTCGCTCGACACGCCGAAGACCCTGGTTCGATTCCTTACAGGGGTACAATATGTAAAAATCCCATACGTAGTGCGCCCCCCTCCCCCCCCCCCCCCCCCCCCCCCCCCACACACACACACACACACACCACCACCACCCCATGATATTGCTGGAATAGTGTTAAAAGCGGCCTAAAACCATACTCACTCACTCATAACCTCAGCACAATCACTTGTTTTATAAATTATGGTTCCACGTCGATGTTGGTTATATTCCGGAGGTGTCATCAAGAATGGGCGTTGCGTGCGTGCGTGCGTGCCGGACACCTGACCATGGTTTCAAATCTCTTCGCCCTGATTATGTTTCTAGGTTGGTCAACACAATACCCATGTTCCAGTTTTCATCCAGTAGTAGTAAATGTCTGAAAATGCCTGCTTGGTTTCGGGTTTTCCTTAACATTAATTTGACACGTCATGATCCAAATTAAAATAATGTTTTAACCGGCCTTAATCTAAGCTCACTCACTGGTAAATGTTGCTTAACGCACTAATTCACAAGTTAACAACTATTCTTGGCTTTCAACCTAAAAAACAGGGTATTTCTATCAGGATCATTGTTGGACTTTTTATTGAAGACATGTATGGCGTAAACTGTACAACGTACATGATATGTTAAAAGAAAAATGTGTATTTGTCACTAAGCGTTATTCCAAACACATGCCTATACCTGTCGATCTTACAGCACTCATTGACGGCAGAAGCAATCATGTACACATATTTACTTTATTTGTTTCTTCCAATTGACTAGTGACTTGCCTTTGCATGTGTTTGTGACGGGTGGGGCAGGACACGCTCATCTTTACGCGAATACCTGGTATCATCACTATTTGATAGTGATTCATGCGCACATGCTTATGGTAAAGTCTGAATCAGGAAATGAACTCTGCCTTAGCAGACATTTCTTTTAATAACGGAGATGGTTTTGTCGCCTGTACTGCAAGAATAATGTAAATAAAACTCTCATTTTATACCTTATGTAACCTGTAATCTCTTCCTATATGAAATACTACATCTAAGGGCTCTGGCTAAATGGAAAAAATCGAAAGTGTCTTTGAACTTTTGACAAATGCAACTTACCTTAATTTCTAGTTTTTTCCCCCAATAGTATGTATGTTTAATAGTGTCTTGTTCACACATGTACATGCCACCATATGACGTCAATTATGATAGGTTTACATATTAAAAACTATATCCCGTGTACATTCTACATGAAGGAAATATATGATAAAATTGCAATTAGCCAATTCAGCATCAGGATAAGCCAAATGGTAGTGATGTAGAATCACAAACATACACACGTCTATGCATGCATGAGTGAGTGAGTGAGTGAGTGAGTGAGTGAGTGAGTATGGTTTGACGCCGCTTTTAGCAATATTCCAGCAATATCACGGCGGGGGACACCATAAATAGGCTTCATACAATGTACCCATGTCGGGAATCGAACCCGGCGTGACGAGCGAACGCTTTAACCACTAGGCTACCCGATCGCCCCTTAACGTAATATGTATCTAAACCGCCGGGCGAAAGAAAGCATATCACGGCGGGGGACACCAGAAATGGGCTCAACACATTGTACCCATGTCGGGAATCAAACCCGGGTCTTCGGCGTGACGAGCGAACGCTTTAACCACTAGGCTACCCGATCGCCCCTTAACGTAATATGTATCTAAACCGCCGGGCGATAGAAAGCATACACTTGAAAATTGGAATTGACCCAAAAATTACAACCGTTATCAAAACGTTATAGGCTAAAAAAACCAGCAACCAATGCTTGCCGTAAGAGATCAGATGAACTTTGTTGATGCATGTCATCGTATCCCAGTTGCGTAGATCGATGTTCATGATGTCAATCATTGGATTATCTGGTCTAGACTACATTATTTACAGTCCGCACCATATAGCGGGAATATTGCTGAGTGCAGCGTTAAACAACAAACAAACAAAACTATGTAACAATGTCTGGAATTATATAACATTACTCATCCTAATATTAAATAAACGTAGAACAAACTGAAGGATTAGAGCAAGACTTTGAAATAGATACTTCTTGTTTACAACGTAATGTGTTTATGCTATTAGTTCCATTTACTAAGAATTACGTTATATTTCTGTAGACAATTTCTGTTGCCCATGAAAGAAGTGGAAGACGGATTAAAATCAGTCCTGGTAATTGCGGTGCAGCCTGACAAGACTGGAACATGTAAATTAAGACAAAAAAACGTATTTGACTTTACAACGATGACACGTCATGATTATAAGAAATATATTGCAACAGAACAAGGCAGGTGGCGTTTAATCACACCGACGATGTTTTTTCAAGATCAGTATGATGTCGCTCTATACTCCGTGAACTGTTGTAAGCGATCCTAGATTTGACATTTCTATATCCTCAATATGGAACAATTTCAAAGAGACAAAGGTATATAAATTCAAACGATTCATGATTCATTGATTTTTGCTGCATGAATTTGAAATTTTAACTGCGTACAAAATGTATGTACGACATTATGAGACCATATCTTCGTGATATCCTTGTGAAGAAGCATGTATTTAAAAGTACGAAATGTCAGATTCTTGATACAAATGAACTTGATACAAGTGAACTAAACTACTGGGAAAAAAGAAAGTATGTCCTCGAAAATTGGATTTGATGAAAATTTGATAAACGTTATCAAAACATTACTAATCTCAAAACAGTCGCCGAAACACTGCAAACGTAACGTACAAAACACAACTATGATACCCGTATCAAATACATCACCATCGCATAACCATTTTATGTTTTTTTTTCATTTTTAGCTACCATGAAACATGAGTGTAAGCTTTCTTTTGTCCTGCAGTGTACGTGCACAGCGAAATCCTGTTAATCCCGTCGGTAGTTTTCCCAAGAAAATCGTCCGAATTGGCCAGTGTCTGAATTATCTAATGATCGATACATATACGTTGTGATATTCTTTGTTTATCAATACACGTGAAGTAATCGTCCAGAAGGCGAGGAGTGGATTAACTAGATTTAACTGTGCAGGATTAAAAAACACTTTTTTGATCATCATTGAGAGACAATAAACGAGCTCGTTGAAGTCTGGCGCATGTTGACCTAACTTGAGTAATATATTCTTATGAATCTTCACAGTACGTTAATTGAGATAATCTTGGTTACCCATACATGTTATGATACTCTACTTTAAATAAGACTCGTTGGATTTAGAACGCTATTATACCACTTGAGTCCTTAAGACAATATATTATCGCACCTGTACCGAGACGATGTCATTCCCCTAATACCAGACAATCAATGATACGTTCGAAGCCGTGTTATATTATAATGAAAATCCTAAATAGATTCGATATAACATTATACAGTAGTGATATCTGAATGCATGCATGTTATTTTGGTACTGCTGCAGTTGTATCCGTCATTTATCTTAATACTTATGTCTTACATGAAGATATACATTAACTATCCGAGAACACTGTCGTCATTAAGCTGCATCTATCCCTCACTTGGTCTTAGAACTTTCCAAATTAGTTCGAAGAAAAAAATATTATTGATGTTTTAAACGAGTATTTTAGATCTATTTCGTGTGATCTTTAATAATTGGAACAGATACGAAATTGTTTGTTTTGTGATATTCGGTATGACGTCAGACACAATACAATTTCCTCGATTGGATTATGTTTAATTGTTTACACCCAATGGAATTTTCTTTGTGTGATATCTATATAAGAACTTTTACATTGAAACCACATTTCTCCTTTAACCTTGTCATTCGAAATATTATTGAAGATGAAGAAAGTTTAGGGTTTTACACAATGATCAAATATCGGTACTCCGCTTGTCTCGATTTACATGCACAACTCTATTTGTCGTTTAGTTTGCTTTAAGAATGCCTTTTTCAATTAGCAACAAATACATTATTCAAATGTGAAACAAAAGAGGCATTACACTTTGACAAAAAGAATATTCTCATGCAGTTTCTAAAAATTATATCATATACTAAGTACTACATTGTAACACTGTCATAAGATTAAAAAAAAATTCACGTTTTTCACAAGAGACACTATTAATATTTAGCGTGCAACGGATATTTATCATTGGCAAAGTCAGTTGATTTACGATACCAGATATACATATCAACGTACAGCCTTGAAAAACCGTGATTACGTAAAATGGAGTTAAGCTGAATTAATCAAGTTAATACTGCTTCTTATTTGATTGTATAAGAGTCCTTGACAAATATCTCTGCTTGCCTGGATAGGAATTTTCATGTAAAATAAGACATCCAACTTTTGAAAAACGATAGTGGGCTACTATAGCGAAAGGTTCATCCGTACGGGAAACCCTGAGACTAAGATGAAACTACGCCGCGGGTAATTGTGTCTGTATAAAGGAGTATTGTCGTAACGTATGCTGCTATACATACATAAATACATACAGATTGTTGAACAACGGAAGTGAATAAGTAAATCTATAAGTAAAATACAGATATGTCAGACTGTCCATGTGAAAAAACAAATATAACACGGTATATTAAGAGATAAGTGTATACACTGTATCAATAGATATGCACAGTGTGATCCTGCAAGGGACACTGAGGCCATTCTTTCATGATTTCATGATATTAAAAGCATTTCATTCCACATCACGCCAAGGAAAGCAGACACTCACAATAGTTATGGAACAGTCTCCAGTGTCAGCTATCACAGGCTCATGGGCGGTATGACGGCACCTATAGAAATTGGCAGGCGACCAATGGCATGCTGCAGGCATCGTGATTGAGATGTGGCTTGAGCTGTGAGCGATACTACTATCTGAGATGCTATAGTCAGATTCCACGTCGCCACACGAGCGAGCGCTTGCTACCTTGGCGTGCTATCTAAGCACACTGAAGTCTCTAAGCCAGCGGCCAGATGGTTACAGTTCATAGACTTGGTGTTGGGAAATTCCAATCACGGGAAATTGTGTGGCTCTATTGAAAGCAAGGTAAGGGCGAGGCTTGAAATTTAGTTTCTAAAAGTATTCTGTACTTAGCTGCAATGACGTAAACGGTCACTTGACACTTGATGTGTCATTTTATGTGACATGAGGGTACTATAACCATCTTTATAAATTACCCATATTTATCATTTTCCGCTTTACATTTCTGTCGGTATAATGATGTCAGATAAATACATGTGATTGAATGAGTATGGTTTTAAGCCGAATTTAGCATCATTGCAGTCTTAACATGGCAGGGACACCGAATATGGGCATCTCTATTGGGAACTGAATGTGCCAACTAGGCTTTTTTTGTGAATACTTGTACTTTTCTTAAGTTTAAAAATGGTTTAGAAATTTCTGTATTGGCATACATTGTACAGTTAAGTTCAAAAATGTGTACATGATCAATATCTCCTTAGACGATAATTGAGTTCGACATATGTTTGAACACATAACACCGCACATTGTCCACAAGATTCCCTAAAGTTGACACGTTTGTACTGGTACATAAACTCGGTCTTAAAGTTATTTCATGTGAAACCAGGGAACATTCATCGACCCTACAGTTTCTTTTCTAAACGTCATACTGATTAAGATCTTCGTCTCGTTACGTATAGTTTTGTGAATGAGAACATTGTTGCTTATTATTAGTGAATTCGTTCAAGCAACCTCGCATGATTTTCCTATGTCTCATCTTTACAGAACACATATTGTTATGCCTGTATTGTATGTAACTTATAGTAAAGGCACAGATACATGGCTGCTACCTTGATACTATCATTGTAAAAATTTGCTGTCCGTACCCTTTGATATTGAAAACACATAGTGTTAAATGACACACGCTGCATATTTATTACAATTTATCGATTTTGCTGTCTTGGTTGATGTTTGTAAATGACAGATTAAAATCTTATAGCGGACAATGAATAGATTTAAGTCGTATCGAGTTTCTTGAGCACAAACAAAATATGAATACTGACAATGAAGCAAAACTCCTGTTTTTCATTTCAGTTATATATATATACGCTGTAGTATGCATTTGAATACAAAATTGTGTGCTTTCTTGTCAAGAATATTTCATCATCTAATTTGAAGTTCTTCACTATTAGTAAGTTAAACATGTTTGAATACGTACAAAAATGACATTGAGACGCCGCTTGTATTGGAAGGATGATCACGTGATGTAGTGGAACCGCGTTATTCCGGACCCCGTTCATCTGTAGACCCCTATTTCTGGTGGATACTGTTTAGAACACAGAACTGTACACAACCTAAAACAAAAACAAGTTAAAGAACACCCACTCTTGGTAGGTTGTGTGTTGCAATACCCACCAGCAATGACAGATTAACTGGAGGCATAATATGGAGGCTGGGGTTATATAAAATGGTATGTATATGCAAGTATGCTGGAGCATAAAGGTCCAAAGGGAAGGCGGAACATGATTCTTGAGATGTGGGGAAGTCTAAAGTTATCCTTACTTTCGATCGGAATTATTGTGTTGCTTGAAATGGGCTAGAAGTGTAAAGATGCATGGCAGTCAGCAAATAATACCTTTGTCACGATAGTCTGTAAATACTCGAGTTCAGATCAGACAAACGATAGATATGTAGCCTGATAAATGATCCACTTCGTCGGTCCAGAATGAAACACAATCAGCAGATCAATCGGCATGATCACCTTATCCCTTATCCCGCCTCAAAAGCGATGCTGGATATTGTAGTTAGCGACGTATCGTTCTGTACGGAAACGCTAGATGAAGACAACCATCTTCAACACAAATCTGACCTCCAAAAGATAGAAGTTTATAATGTATACCAGTAGATTGTATTCTCGAAACATATAATTTAGTGATGTGAAATCCATCTTCTCTTACGGAGTCTGGCTCTTCTTTACTCAAAGCAAGATTTCGTGTACAAGAAACAGTTCAAGTTAACCAATAAATGCTAATTTAACAATAACTGAAGTGTTCATATAAAATAGTAAGAAACTGTTATTATTTATTTTATTTGAATGTGTATCCCATTCCTATTTCTTTCTAAATATTCTTTTCTTTAAATCTTTGTAAATATCTGTCTACTTGTGCGTAATGGACTCATCTTTTGGTGGATATTTCTTATGATTTTGGAACTGTATTTTGTCGTGTTTAATTAATATGTATTTGTTATTTGCAAGAAGTTTATTTTATTTTTATGGAATGGGTTGGTTCCATCACTTCTCGGCTCTCGGTTAACTCTCTATATCTCAATTTAGATCTTGAAATGTAAAAAACCCCGTATCATCCGCAGTTGCATCACCCACGGAATAAGAACCAAATGTTTACATTTATATATATTAAGTATATCATGTAAGAAGGTTAATAGTGACTGCAGGTCGTAGATTTTTAACACGTTGGTGAAAATTGCGGACTTGTGCTTACAAACAAAACCAAGGGCGAATCAGGGAGTCTTACCTTGAGGCATCGTTTCCTGACTGAACTAACGACCGTACAGGGCCTATGCAACTGGACTTCCCACGTCTCCGCCAATGAAAGAAATACAACTAGACAGTTTTAAGGATTTATATTTTTCCGAAAACAAATGCATGTGATGATCGTGAAGTTCTAATGATAAATAAGGGTCAATGAGCTACATCGTCTCGAGCAATGTATAAGGTCAATGATTCTCTACGTAATGACATTTACCGTACGCATTTCCGAAAGTTCAGTGCTCGCAAACATCAACGCTTTCGATAGTCATTTTGTCAAAACTTTGTACATAAATTGAATCTTTGAATGAAAGCAGACAAACTTAATAAAGTATCCGTTGCACTTAATGCCACGATCGTGGGTAAAAAACCTTAACAAGCGTCAACGTTAAAACCATTTCTGTGTGATGTTCTCAAACACGGAGTTACAAAAAGACGTTTCAAGTAGTTCTTGATGTCGAACGTGCTAGTACACATCCTATTCAATTATATAGCGAATGTGTGCGCCCTTTCTGTAATGTTGCCAAGTGGTCATGAAAGAAATTGAGCAAAATTCAGAGAACACTAAATAAGGATAGCATCACTACGATGATCTGCCTTTGAGAAGCAAAGCTATGAAGAGGAGTGATTTGACGAGTCTCGATGACAAAAAACAATCATGTCCTGTGCAACAATAACAATATAGGCCCTGGGCATTAAATGTTAACGTGTCTAAGTTCACATGTTGTGCACGATAATGGGTTGTTATGAAAACATCGGTTTACCCACATAAAAACTGAGGTATTTGATTTTCAAACACTTATTCAATGGAGGGAAAAGTTAGTACACAGTGTTTGTGTGTGTGTTTGCGTGTGTGTGTGTGTGCGTGTGTGTGTGTCTGTGTGTGCGTGTGTCTGTCTGTGTGTGTGTGTGTGTGTGTGTGTGTGTGTGTGTGTGTGTGTGTGTCTGTGTGTGTGTGTCTGTGTGCGTGTGTGTGTGTGTATTATATCTACATGTGTTCTATGGATAAAACTTTCGGACAAGCAGGTTCCCTTCTCATAGATGATCTGTTTCTCTTTGCGTACGAATCGGATTTGTTTACTACTTCAGTGAATTAGAAGAAAAGACAGTAAACAGTCTTTCCTCTGAGAAACCTGTTGAATCTGTGCACAGAAATTAAAATGATGCCAGACTCTGTACAAACCTGTACGTGAATTTCCCCATCAATAATATACCACTAGCTTTATCAAATGGCATATACATTGCATTCAAATTTCATGGTACGACACAGTATGCTTACAGCTTTAAAAGTGATCAATCAAGGTTTCATTACCAGAGGTCTGGTTAAGTCCTTCCAGAAATTTAATGGTTAACAGATGAATTAAGGAAACATGACATTTCGCTTGTCAACATTATGTTTCTCTGGCGTTGACGTTTTCAAATTCATTTTATATGTCCCTATTGGTATCCTGTTAACACTACTAAGGCTGCATTAAATACTTACTGCTTCTTATCACAAATCAACCCTAACTACCGGCCCGACACTGAAGTTTATATATTTATAGGTTCCAGTTTGAGTAATATTTCCATTCCTAAGTTGAACTTTTCCATGTATCCAGTTCTGATGGCCAGCAAAATCCTTGATGTGTTCACAAATCAAATTGGGGATTCCCAGGATTGGGAAGTTCTGAAACCTTGGATGAATGTTTGGTACAATTGTGAGTTTCCATCTTCGAGTTTCAGGTACATTTCTATTCAATGATAACAAACACCCGGACCCATAGCTACCTATCATAATCCGAATGTCGCGAAATAACGCCCAGTACAATTACAATAAACTCGCTTGGTTATATATAGCATAGGAGAGACAGATATGTTGATTTAATTTCCCAAAAGAAGCCAAGGCAGCGAATGATTCCAAACTATTTATGATAATAGAATGGATACATAATAGCGTGGATAATCGATGATGTCCCATGCTTGTCTCATATGCTGGATTGAAGGAGTATCGGTGGGTCACAATGTATGACGACTGCGACTGGATCGTTTGTCCATTCTCTATACGTCTAGACAAGGTCTAGGCACAGGCAGCCTTGAGTGTGCCGTCAAACACTATTCGCTCACTCACATGAATACCATGTGCAGCTCTAAAGAACCATGTCGCTTCTAGTAAAAAGTACATAATGTTTCTTCATGAAACTGGTGAAACTGAACAAATATGTTTTGACATAGCCATGAATAAAGGAAATAAAAATAGATGCATTAAAAATGTGGTTATCCACCAAAATATTTGATTGTTGACAGAGAAATGTGGCATTAGCTTCAAGATAGCACGATTTCAGAAGTATTATGTCGTCCAAGCTGTTCGTAGTTAAATACTGCAATGTTTTCGTGGATGGTTTTAGGATCGTTTGAAGTAAGACTATCGGATGGGATACGCAATTTGAAGATGAAAAATTAGATACTATATTAGGCATTCTTACTCGTTGGGCACAGTTCCATATTATGATAGACAGATGACCTTGCGTCACTGGGGCCAGTTCACCAAAGTGTTGTCTTC